TTAAAAATTATTTCCATTAACACATTTATCTTTACAATCAAGTCCACTCAAAGAAGCTGCCTGAAGTTCAAGCATCAAAATTGTACCAGGTGGGATTCATATAAGACTCAGCGGAGAATAAATTTAGTAAAGGCTCCTTCGGTTTGGAGGAATTTGCCTAAGAAGGTGGAAATCAATTTTTCTTCACTACAACTTTCTCTAACTTCAGAAAGTCAAAGGCTTATTAGAAGCCATTCAGGCCCCCTGACCACTGCTGGGGACCCCAGAAGTGACACAGTTGCCTTCAGGCAGTCAGGCTTGCTTCTTCAGAAGCCACCACAAGGAATGGCCTTGCTCTAAGTGCTGTCCCCAGGCTGAGGAAAGTCAGGCTGGAGAGAAAGACCCAGAAAACTACAGCTATAGTTTCCTGAAAACAACCAGTATTCCCTAGGATGCTTTTGTTTTGGGGTTCTGTTTAGCACCCTGCGACCCTCTCTTGCTGTCCTTTCTGAAGGCAATGGCTAAGACACAGAATGTCATCACAGTCAAGCAATGTCATCTTCCTTCCCAGAGGGGCGCTGCCTGGGAGCAGGCCTGTGTCTGATACACAGAAGGACTCCGAGGCCTGTCGGGCAGGGAGAGGGGGCTTCCCACAGTCCCCTCTCCCAAAGCTCAAGATATGACTATAAACCATTGTGGTCACTTTGACTACAAACACAAAAAGGTCTGCATCCCCTTCATGGATGTCTCCTTTTAAGAAACAGGAGTGACATATGTTCTAATAAATAAAATAAAACAAGCATCTAGAATTACCACGGCAGCAGAAAACATGAAGTTGGGAAGAAATGACCGGGGAGGGATATTATGCAACTCATCCAACCAGAAAGCACAAAGAATGCATCTTGCACCTGCACTTGCTTATTGGACAGTGAGACAAAGGAGAATTATTTCACTGGGTTAGAACCTCTTTATTTTATTTTATTTTTAAAAGATTTTTATTGGGGAATTGGGGGATGGGAACAGCGCTGGGGAATTGGGGGAAGGGGAACAGATAAGTTGTTGTCCTTTTGTTCTTCAGTCTAGTTGTGGAGGACGTTGCTTCACTGGCCCAAGTTGGAACCATCATTGTGCTCTTCCCGGGCGAGGCAGATCAGTCGCCGGCTTCTGGACGGCCGCTCACTGCGGCTGCTGGCCGCTCACGCTGGCTGCTGGCTATACACGGTAGCCCATGGCAACCCACTGCAGCAGGGGCTGCAGCCTTCGCCGTTGCTGGAGCTGGCGACTCTTCGGCAGCCCAGCTCCAGGTTGAGCTGTTGTTCAGCATCTTAGCTGTAGAGGGCAGTGTCACTGGCCCTCATATGTGGGATCCAAACCAGGTCCCTCTGGCGTCTCAAGCCAGCTCTTAACCATCGCGCCACTCGGCCATCCCTAGAACCTCTTTAGAACTAGGTTCGAGCTCCAGGTAAAAGAGACACTTGGAGCAGGTAATCCGGCCTCAAAGGCAGTGCTTCCCAATTGGCTTCACATCACAGTCCATATGGAACTCACTAGCCCAATAGGGTAAGCAGGCAGGGCTGCTAGCAGGTGGTCCCAGGGACGGGAGCCAGCCAGGCAGCCCTGAGGGTGCACTGTCTCAGGTGGCAGCTCTGGTCTGAGTTGTTGACTGCAACCATCCAGCAGTCAAGTTGCTCTGTGCTGCTGCAGTTATGACGACCTCCAAACCTCCAAAGTCCTGACCCAACCAACAGGCCCCATATCAACGTCCTCCACTCCGCTCAAGCTGAGGGTCATCATGGCAGACTGCTTTCTCGGAAAGGTGAAACTTTTCATCTAGCAGATTTATTCTGCATTCAAGGGCACATTGTGTGACATGGATGCTGTCCCCTCTTACAGAGGCTCTCACAGAGCCTTTCTAATTGAGGCTAGTGGAAAAGGGCATATTTTTTTCAGACTGCCACCAAAAATGTGAACATAGTGAACTGAGGCAAACAGCATCAGGGCGCAACTCAGACAACAGGCTACGCCAGAAGTTCTGAGGAAAAATGGATTTTCGTGACGGCAAATGCAAGCAGTAGGCACGGGAGAACAAACACAGTGACCTGTGAATGGGGCCATTGAGCTGATTTAGAACGGCTCTCACCAGTGTCCCTTGCTGAAGGAGATTGATGTGCTGCTCTTTCTAAAGCTGTGGTCCACACACTCGTTTTCTGGGGAACCAAGAAATCAACTCCAAGGATGCAAATCCATTATTTTCAAGCCTTCATTAACTGGAACCTAATTAGGACTTTTGAGGGCTTTGTTCCCTCATTTTGAAGGAACTTTCTGTCTCTTAAGTCAGCATGGCGTAAATGGAGGAGAAGTGAACAAAGAGTTAGCTATGTAGATTTCTTGCATATAAGCAACTTATGTCACCTTTGGGGGCTTCAGCTTTCCAATTTATAAACTGAGAGGGTCACTGAGAGAAGATACCCAGTTATCTTCAGCGATACAACTCTGATTCTAGACATGCCAACGTATCGGTATCAATCTGGGATCATTCTTCTACCCTGAGCTCCCCCCGCCCCACTGGGCACTGAAATGCTGAGATCACTAACGGTCTTTTACAGTTTTTAGAGTACTTCACACATTTAATCCAATCAAGCTATCTAATAATCGGATGGGGGAAGGTCTCTAAAATGCTGTAACAGAACCCCCCTCATTTGTTGTGCTTGAAGAGGTGGTTGGTTAGTTATTCTAGGAGTTGGCTAAAGAAGGGATCTTGCAGAAGAGATACTTACACACCAAACCTTTGTTTTAATTTGTATCAATGTACATTCACTAACTTTTTTTTAATGTAAATCTTTTTAAAGAGTGTGCTAATTGGATTAATACATACTTTTGTTCTGAATAAACTGCACTCATAATTCATTGTCTATAATTCATATTGTAGTTTTTGTTTTCTAAGAGACTGAGCACTTAGGCATCTTGAAGGCAATCTGAGTACAGAATTGTTCCTGAGTCTTATGATGATTTCCTCCTACTCTGTTATAGCTGTCACACTCAAGCAGCAGAATTTTTTAAGATTCATCTTCACCAAGTCTTTTCAATTTAACTTGGTTTTCACAGAAACAACAGCTTTCTTCTTTATGCTCTCATTTGACCAGTTTACCTAATATTTTGTTAAACTGTGTAATTGTAACAACACATATATATGCCTGGCATCACTGGCTTTGGGAATCGGTGGGATCAACTTGATGCACCGCCCCCGCCCACTGCGGGAACACCAGCCGCGTGTGAGCACGCCATGGGCACTGATCACTGAGTCCTGCAGGAGGAGTGAGGGCACTGGCTGAGAGCACCACGGAGCACCAGGCAAAGAGTTCATGAAGGCAGGTGGACAGGCTTGCCTGGAGCCTGGGAGGGAGGTCAGGGCTGGAGGGATGGACCTGGCGTCATCAGCATCCAGTTAGCAGTGAAAATCACAAGTAGAGGAATTCATTCAGGGAGGGAGTGTGGGTAGAGGAAAAAGAGGGAGTAGGGTAGGCCCCAAGGAATGCCAACCATAAAAGGGTGAGTGAGGAAGAGGCGTCTGCCGAGGGCCCCGCAGGACATTACTGGAGACATATGAAGGAAAGCAGAGAACCAGGAGGCAGTGAGCTTCAAAGGGCCACAGGCAGGACAGAAGTCCAGGAAGCAAGGACTGAAAAGTTTCCTTAGATGTGACAACCGGCGGCCACTGGGGAGTGAGAATCGGAGTGTGTTCATGGCCCCAACAAGTGATTTCACGGAAGGAAGGAAAGGCTCTGTCACCTCCGATGCCTTTAGTCCCTCTTTCGCCAGCTTTGTGTCTTGGTCAGCAGCCACTGTGCCTACAGCCAGCCACCCATCAGCACTCCCGGGCAGAGAGCCTACTCAGGCTGTCCAAGCCCAGGCAGGGAAGGGGGCGCAGGACAGCCCCGGGAAACACCTTGCCTCCTGAGCATTGGCAGAACAGGTCGCCCCCTTATCCTGAGAGCTGCTGGCCTCTCCTAGGCCCAGGGCAGTGACGATCTGAAACGCCTGCTGAGAAGCATCTCTGCAAGTTTATCACAAAAGGGAGGATACAATGAGATCTTCAATTAGGTTCTAAAACAAGGCCTTTGAGACCTCTTCAAGCTGAAAGGCTCGGAGAAAGAGTTTTGGTGAGGCTGCACTCGGCCAGTGGTCTGATAAACACACAGCTCCATCGGCCAATCCTGCGGCCCAATTCAGTTTTCAAACACCCAGAGTCTTCCCATCGCATACAGTGACCAGGGAAAAACAGCGAGTTCCCCAGGGTTTGGGTTAAGAAATACAAACGAGAAGGGAAAACTGCACAACACAAAACACAGGCTCTGCTCTCTAACGCACGGACCAGTAACGAGGAAACAGTGCCTGGATCTTAGGAGTCCTCGACTGTCGCACACGGCAATGCCAGCCCGGTTTGAGGGACGGTTGCCTGAGTCCCAGAGAGGGGCCGGCATGGCTATGACCATCAAGCGCAAGCAGTACCCTTCCAGGCCATCACTTTCTTCCACAGCCAACGTTCTACAGTGTCCTAGTTCTCTGCTCCTTCAGATATGAACCTGGAATTTGTAGACACAGAACTCTTTTGGGAAGCCAACGGATAGGAAGAAATACTTTGTTTTAAAGCCTCGCGATCAGATACTGGTCAAGTTCTTCCTCACGTGCACGTTTCCTACTCTCAGCTCAATCAGGAAGGATGAGAGGTAGACGCCACGGTGAGGAACAAGTACTGGATACAGCCTTCCCAGGTGAGGCCAGCTGGGAGTGTTGGTCACAGAGCCACCCACACAGACGCCACCCTTTTGTCTTGACTCACATTGTTGAGCCTGGGACCTGTGGAGTGGGTGGGTGGGTGCCTGCGTCGGAGAACACTGCTGTAGGGCAGTGACTGGGGAAGAAGGCAGGAGAACCCAATGCAGCCGTGCTGAGTCTCATGCACATGGGGTGCAGGCACAAGTCAAATCTGCTGGTTGCACTGAAAAAAGGAAGGAACTGACCTGATCCAAACGCAGCGCGCCGTCCGAAAACCGCTGTTTGCGTAACTCCTTTGCAATTCTGTGGAGATTCAAGACAGCCTGGTGTACCTCCTCACCGGTGTGTTCCGGGGAGATGGGAGGCAGCTCGGTCTCAGGGACTGCCCTAGACGGGCTTTCAATCATTCTCTGTGCATGGTCGTAGCTCAGCTTGGCGCAGGAGTGGATGATGGTCCGGCCAAACCACTCACTGAGGATCTGCAAAGATGGACACAAGCGAGGAGAAGTTTTTTCAGGTTTTTCTTACAGGGGACCAGCCTCAGCACTATTGGGCTGACTAATTCTTGTTGTGGGGGCTGTCCTGTGCCCTGTAAAGGGTTTGGCAGTACGTTGAACTCTACCCGCTAGATGCCAGTAACCCCTCTCCACAGTCCCGAGTTGACAACCAAAACTGTCTCCAGACATTGCCCAACATCCCCTGGGGCAACTCAGCCCAGGCGGAGACCCCTGGGCTCAAGGCAGATACACCCCAGGTAAGCAGTGGTGCTTGCTGAGGGGTGGGGTTGCCACCGATATGTCTTTTATCCTTTGAATTTGTCTGTCTTTTCTATAATGAGCATTTATCACCTTTAAAAGAATAAAATAATCATTAAAATATTTGGGGGACTCCTGAGTCTGAGGTATAGGGAGGAGATCCGGATGGGGCTATGTGGCTCTGGGGCCAGGGTGATGACTAGTCTGCAGGTAGGGAGCGGGCCTCATCAACTGGAAAGGGAGGGCGGGGAGGAAGGAAGGGGGAGGGAGAGAGAGAGGGAGGAAGGAAGAGAGAGAGGAGAGAGGGGAGAGAGGGAGGGAGAAAGGAACAGGGAGAGAGACAGACAGAGAGACAGACAGACAGACAGTGGAGGCTGCATTCTCTACCACCTCCTCCATGATAGGGAGCAAAAAGACAAGCTGCAGGATGAAAACAAACAGAGGGCTCAAAGCAACAGGAGAACAACCTGGAGCTCCCAATGTGAGGAGAAGCAGGAGAAAAGGGCTTTAAGAAAGGGGACTCCCAAACAACAACAGACAGTGTTTATACACTTGCGATACAGCAACTATTGAGTCACACAGCAACCCTGTGAGGCAGGCAGTTTCTTAACCCACTCTGCAAATGAGGAAACTAAGGCGCAGACACACTAAGTCACCTGCTAGAGGATGGTCAAATCAGGACTGGACCACGCAGTCCAGCCTGAGTCTCAGCTCTTAACCACGAGTCTGTCAAATGCCACCAGGGTGTCAAGGAGGATGAAACAAGCACAAGTCCTTGAATTTAGCAGCTGCTTGCTGGCGACTCTAAGAAGGCTATCTTAGGGGGAAATATGGCGCAGGGTGGGTGGGGTCAAACTGCAAAGCCCTCGGTCAAGTGCTGGTGACGGACTACGGAGATGCTGCCAGGGCTCTGCCCTCCGTCGGCCTCGAGCACACACCTCCTGTGCCACTCAAATAGCAACATCTTCTGTGTGTGTCATACGTGAAAAGTTTGGGGAATTCTGGGTTAAGGATAGGTGGACGGATGGCTAGCAGTGGAGGTAATGTGCGGATGACCTTCCAGGATGGCAGGACAGGGGTGCTGTTTGTAGGGTAAGAGGAAGAAGCCAATGTGAAAAAAGAGACTGAAGATGTGAGAGAATGAAGGGACCCTGGGCCAAGGGGACCCCGGGAGGTGATTCATCCACGAGTGAGGAGCAAGGGCTGGGAGGGGGGATGGGAGAACAGGGGAGCTGAGAAAGGCGGTCTTGAGCGGAAGAAGAGGTAATTTGAGGGCATCAGATCAGACAGTCCCAATCTATGGAGTCAAGTATAAGGCAAAGAAAGAGAGGGGTCTAAGTGAGGTCCAAGGGCACGAGGAAGGTGGAAAAGCTCTGAGATCAATGCCATGGGAAATGTGATTCATGAGCAAGGAAAAGCCAGAGTGCTGCGTGACAGGGAGGGCTCGGGAGAGAAGGAAGCACCCATCAGTAGGGGCCTTTCAGCCTGGGCTCGCAAACAACGCCCCCCCTCCCACCAGTCAAACCATTCTGTTCCAGCCTCAGAGACAATGCACCCCCAAAAGGCACCTGTAGGACCCACAGGTGTTCCCAGTGGGGAAGGGGAGGGCCCAGCACAGAGGAGCTGTCCAGATCGCAAGGCCTCTGGGAAAACAGCTTCTACCCTGAAGGTCTAGAGACGCCTCTGATCCCCGCACCTTCTCTTGGAAGAAGAACGGATACTCTTAAAATGGCAGCCATGATGCACAGGAAGAAAATGGTCGCAACTACTCACATTTTTCTTTGATTCTGTGCAAAGAGCCTTATTATAAAGAGTCTTGAATCTGTAATATCAGACTTCAATTTTTCTTAAAAATAAAAATCCTCAAACTATACTTTCTGGATTATGCCAAGAACCATTCCTCTCCAAAAATACAAATGACTCAAACATATGCTCATGGCTCTTCTGCTGTGGCAAGCAGGTCCTGAATTTGGCTCACAGGAGGGGGATGGGGGTGGGAGAGAGAGAGAGAGAGAGAGAGAGAGAGAGAGAGAGAGAGAGAGAGAGAGAGAGAGAGAGAGAGAGAGAGAGAGAGAGAGAGACAGAGAGAGAGAGACAGAGAGAGAGAGAGGGAGGGAGAGAGAGAGAGCGCGAGCGAGAGCGAGAGCGTGCGCGCGCGCTGAATGCAAGGGAAACTGTAGACCCAATTCCAGGTATCACCCAGCAGTCCCCGTGGGGAAGCAGCATGTGCAGGTCTCCAGGAGAGCCCCCTTAGGGCCAGCCCATGCTTGTCCTTCTATCACATCCACATTTCCTGAAAACTTCCCGCTAATAGGGTGGTTCCAACCTCGGCTAGAATGACAGGGTCACGACCTAGTCATTCTTGTGGTCACAAAGTTTTCCCCTGGAGATTTAGCTTGTTTCCTTTTTGCCATTTCATTCCAAACCCGCTCAATCCTCCTCCTTCTGTGGACCCACATTTTGTTTGACAGTCTGTCTTTAGCTGCTCAGGAATGCTTTCATTTCCATCCTGTATTTCCACGCTTTACAAGTGGCCCTGCAGATTGCCTGAGGCATCCAGGTCACAGGACGTCTGGCCTCCTGGGGTCTTTTTCCCAGTGGACACAGGAGGAGGCCACCACACCCAGAGCAGGGAGACCTGTACCACAACTGGGCATCATTTTCATGTCAGCTGCTGGGTTAAGAACTACTTTAAAAATCTAACGAAAGCTCCAAGCCATTTCCCCTGAAATATTTATGCACAAAATTTTGCAATCAGCTCCACGGAGTTCCTAGACACCCTGCCTCCCTGAGCCCATGTATCCTGGCTCCAAACAGCGTTGCCGTGCCCGCTGGACCTGCCTACCCACTCATCACAGTGCTGAACCCTGACCAGGGGCCATTTGCCATCCGAGGAGTTCTTAAAATGCGTTATCTGTAACTCAGCAAAACCGGAAGTCTACCACTCCTCATCAAGCTCGCCAGCAACACTTGCGGGCTGCACTATCTCAGTTTAAGCCACTTTTCGCCTAACGGGCATCTCTGCTCCTTTAGCTTGTTTCCTTATCTGTCAATACCCATCTGAACAGCACATGTGAACACCACCAGGTCTGAGACTGATAAGAAGTTCCCTCTAATGCCTGCACCCCAGAAAAACGTGTACTGACCTTCTGTTTGAACATACAAAGGGCTCAAGTGAAAGTTCTGAAGAGCCATCTAGAACTTCCTGGTCCAGTGACAGTGGCCTCAGGCAGCAGAGCCTCTCCTGCTTTAACACGACCCATTGATTCTGGGATCAGCCTGACGCGTGGACTCAAAATATTCTTAGGCAGGAAAATGAGTCTGATGCCGCCTTGCGGGAGGCAGCAGAGGCGCAAGGATGCCCATGCCAGCCTTCCTCAGGGAAGATCAGCAGGAAGAGAACCAGGAGTGGGGCTCCCGGGGCAGCACGCTTTACAGTACGGGAGGAGGAAGGCCTCTCTGGATGGAACACCTCATTAATTTCTCATTTGGAAGCTGTATTCACATTAACATCCCGTCCATAACCAGGGCTGATGGCAGAAGACAAAAGAACAAAGAGTTTTTCATGGAAAAAGTAAAAAAGCCATGAGAAACTTCACAAACAAAACCCTTCAGAGGGATCGTGTCCTTCCTCTTTCATTTGCTTAATCAAAGGATTTGTTTGGGGCACTCCTTTTCTGCAGGCCGCAAGCTTCCTGCAGCCACCCTGGGACCCCACTGTTAAGAAGTCAGGTTAAATACCACGCCAATGCCCACTGAGGGCATATGACCAGGAAAAAAAACCTGGTCACAGAGGAGCAAATAATCTATCCTTCATGACCTACTGCCTGGTACCAGGTAGGAACAACGCTTGAGAGGACCTGGCCCTGTCCCCACACCGACTGCCCTGTACGGTCTAACACACAGAGAAAACATGCCAGGGGCTTGTGAAGAGTCACACGAACTTCTAAGTGGCAGCCTGGATCAGATCCATGTGTGAAGACGTAAGACTCAAAACCTAGCGTTCCTTTTACTCTATTTTAGCTAAAGGTCACCTAACAGACAGACTGGTAGCGAAGTAAAGAAAATGAAGTATGCCTCAAATGTATATCAGCTTCCGATGTTTTATAGATACAGAATTGTGAGGACAACATACCCTTTGAAAACTGTTCAATTCTATTCAAATATATTTTAAAATTTATCATCTAAAAAAATGTCAGTGCTTCATTAAGAAATCTCCAGTTCAAAAAACTGCTAATGGGGTAATCAGTAATTTTAAGTTAGCAGATGCAAAATTACTTCTGCAGCCACTCTGGGCTTCTGGATGTAAAATATTTGGTTCACAAGCCTATCAGGAAGAAAGAAGTATTTCCCTGAATGGAATAAAACAAGGCTGTATGGGGTGGCCAGATTTCTGCGGCTTCTTACAGCTTGGAACACGAGGAAATCGTCATGGGGGGTCGGGGGGAGGGCACAGTGGTGACAGGAGTCAAAGGTGCCAAGAAGAACATGTCTGAAAAGCATCCGAGCAGGAGGAGGCGGGGCTTGAAGCTAAGAGGGGCACACAGGTCCGTGATGGGAAGGCCCTACTGACTGCAGTGGGCAGAGGCAGTGGGGTCGTGGCTGGATGAGGAGTGCGTGGGGGTTCCCTCTGCGAGGCCCACTCCTGGCACTGGGCCCCTGTGGCTGAGTGGGGCACAGGTCACTTCTGAAAGACTAGAGAAGACCATGGTAGGATTAAAGAG